AGGCGTAAAGGACCAACTAATATATTTACAATTAGTTGTGAGTTTTGAATTTGACTAGCGATCACATATTAAGTCAACATCGTAGCTCACAAGAATCGAATTTATAGATCAAATAGCATCATAATGACGTGGGAATCATCGTCACTAATTATAGGGTTGATGTATTTCATTGTAAACCTATTCCAGATCATCAATTCACTAGGTAGGGTGCATTTGGTTCGGCTTTGCAAATGGGCTTTGGGGAAATGTAAATTGCGTTTGGTGAAAAATCTGTTGTAAAACTATTTTGGCCTAAGTAGCGTTTGGCAAAATGTTTTAGAAAGGGCTTTTAAGTTTAATTTTTCTTTTCTTTTTATTAAAAAAAAATCAAACCCTTTACCGACTATGGTGAAGGGCTAAGGCCGCCGGCGAGCCAGATCTGGTGCTGGCGGCCATAGCCCAAGGTTGTGAGACCCCTAGCGAGGGTCACGCAAACCCAGGGGGCATCGTCGGGGTCGCACAACCCGACGATGAGGCTTGAGGTCGCGCGACCCCGGCAAGGGTCATCTAGTTAGTCGCACAACCCAGGCAACCGTCGCCTGGGCGGTCTCGCGACCTTAAGCGACGGTCTCCTGGGTCACGCGACCTTGTCGGCCTCTTGCCTGCCATTTGCCAGCCCGATCTTGCCTTGTTAACCACCCTCGTGCAAAGAAGATGAACAGTCACAACTAAGGACAAAATAAAAAATTAGAAAATTGGTTAGGATAGTTTGAAAAGAAAAAACTAATTTCAACGTTCAGCCAAATGCTAAAATTCGAATGTTGGTCCCCACCAGCATTGGTTCTCAAGACCGACATTTGGCCAAAATCCCCTTGGGAAGGTTAGCCAAATCACCCAGCATTCCTCAAGGGGTTTTAGAGGCTAAAAACCCCTTAGAAAAGTTGAACCAAATGCACTCATAGTCTACTTCATGGATAAGAAACGTATCTCGGTTGGAAGTTATAGAGATTTTCCAAACCACATATGGAAAAAACCTGCAATGGCCCATTGGGCTTTTGTGCACAAAACATGGAGGATTGTGTAAATTCATAATTATACTTTATCGCAGGTGTTCAATATTAGAAATCGAACATTATTATCCTACAATAACCTTCTTAAAAAGTTTTCAAATCATAAAATAATTCTCTTTCCCCTCTTTCCATAGATACAATTTCTTTGTATTGTGTTTTTGTATCAATGATTTCATTCCATTGTTTAATAATTCAAAATATATTGTAACAAGCTTACCCTTTCAAGTGTCAATTTCTTGCACACTCTACACGTGCGCACATTTGCTATATTCTATACATGGAGTGCAATTGACCAAAAAATATAATCGCCACAGAATTTCATTACAAACATCACTTAGCAAAAAACAATGTAATATATTATATTAAAATTGACTTTTGCCCCTTATTTGTACTCTTATTTCATCAAATGATTCTTTTTTTCTCCCAATAAAAATTGAAGAGCTTTGTCAAGAAAAAGCGACAGTTTAGTAGGAAAATCTCTCCATAACACATTATAAACATCATATCTAATAATTTCTACATTCAAAGTAAAAAATGATTAAATTCACTTTACAAGAACGAGAAAAAAAAATTAATGATTGTTAATTCAAGTAAAGCTGACTCTATTATGCACACCAAGTGATATCGTACATACAAAAAGGATTACAGTCGTACCTATACAATAGCATAGAAATGAAAATGACTTTTTTGCTTACAATGCAATAATACACTATGGAGAGTTAAATTATTTTGATTCCATCCAATAAAACGCGTCGTTGTAAGGCACAAAATTGGAGTCAACGTTATTTGGAAAAAAATGATTACGTAAAAAATATGACAAAACAATCGAGTTGCACCAAAAATTGTCACGCCCCGAACCCTAACGGGCTCGCGACACCCCTTCCACGGTCGTATTGAACGCGACGTCCCAGGACGCGTCGCCGACCCAAACGAAACACCCAACGATAAAGGCAAGCGGAAGCGAAATTAAATAACCCAGACAATAAATAATGACAAAGGGATAGCACTACCATACAATCAATATACACATTTTATAAGAATACTTGGCAGATACAAACTGCAGAAACACGCTCATCAAAAAAAGGGGTAAAGGTTGGGTAACCTACTCCACTATACAAAACGGGGGCAACCAAAAAGGTGAAATGAAACATCAAATGCCCAAAGTCACTCCCGGTCTCCGAACAGCACATGACGACTATCCGTCACTCCAGTCCTGAAAATGTTTAACAACGGGGGATGAGATAAATCTCAATAAGCAGACCCCTAAACCCCACATAGGCCAATGCGTACCCAGACAAGTCTCAACATGCGACCTAATCATCGACGTACTGTAATATACACAAACGTACTTACCTCGCTTCTAATCATGCGCCAACTCTGCATATTAGTCAAATCACAATAAGTAATAATAGTCCATGAACACATCACAATCATTCAAGCGCCATACACACGTGCGTTCATCCAATTCAACCCAAACACATTTCACATACGCATCCATCCAATTTTCACACGACCCGGGTCAACACCCCACAGGTCAGCCCTCCGATCAATCCGGGCTCTGTCCCGCATCAACACCCCACAGGACCTTTCAAAAACAAACTTTCACACGACCCGGGTCAACACCCCACAGGTCAGCCCTCCGATCAATCCTGGCTCTGTCCCGGGTCAACACCCCATAGGACCTTTCAAAAATAAACTTTCACACGACCCGGGTCAACACCCCACGGGTCCTTTCTCACAACCCGGGTCAACACCCCTCAGGTTGGCAGCCCTCCGATCGATCCGGGCTTGTCAAGCATACACGCCACATAATTCAATCAATTCCATGGCATTCACACGTTCAAATATCACCCAAGTGTGTCCAGACAACCACAATGCAATTCACCATACTAGCACATTAAAATAGCCACGATCCCACCAATTAAATTCACGCTTGCGCACCAACAAGCGGTCATCCGAAGGATGGCAACTACTTTGTCATCAAAACATCACTTGAGCACCCAATTTCAAACATGGAATCAATCCATAAATCAAGCAATCATTAGCCACACTTAGCACGCTACACCGACACAATATATCCTACAATTCCACTCCAAAACTTGTTCATTAACAATCCATCGGACTAGCCATTATCACTGCTCATGACAAACCCTAACTCAGTCCTGAAACCAGCCACAATATGCCCATAAATCAGCCATTGTCACACACACATTGGGCACTAAATCAGCCCGCTAATCAAGCAACATTCGACCGTCACAACGCTCGCCATTTCCCACACATTTTAACCCACATTATGCTCAATAGATTCACCAACATCATTCGCCGAACCAGCAATTGACTCAGCCAATAACAGCCACTAAACAAGCCTCTAAACCATCATAAATCACCCACTAATCTAGCCATGAACAGCCCATACGATCAGCCACCAAATTGGCCCTTAATCTGCACTAATTAACCCCAAAACGAGTCAAATGATACCCGAAGTCATAGACGGAGTTTGGGAAGCCGCTTACCTCGGGCCTAAGTGAGAACAAGCCGAGCAAGGGTGGCGAGGGGACCGGAACAGCAACGGCAGCAGCCTCGGCTCAGCCGCAACTTCGGCGAACACGCGACGGCTCACGGCGGCGACGAATGGACGGCTACCACATGGGAGAGAAAGCGGACAGGGGGCTGAAGCAGGGGCAGCAGTTGGGCTCACAGCCGGAGGGCGGCCAGGCGACAGCGACGGCGACGGCGGCTGGGTGGGGTGGAGCCGAAACAGGGGAGATGTCGGGGAGGAGAGAAACAGGGGGAAAGGGGAGGTGGTGGTGGCCAAGGGGGCAGCTGGGCGGCGGAGGTGGCTGAGGGGAGAGACTGGGTGGCGGAGCGGCGGCGGCCGGAATGGCGGCACGCCGCGGCGGCGAAGCCAGGGGTCGAAACAGGGGAAAGCACCGGGGAAGAGAGAAATAGGGGAAGGGGAGGTCTCGCGGTGGCCGGAGGCAACACGGCGGCGTCGCGGGCGGCCGGGCAACGGAGGACGGGCCGACGTGCGGCTGGGCAGCGCCGGACCGCGGTGGGCGCGGCGGCGACTTGCTGCTGTGCGCGATAGGGAGGAGAAGAACTGCCAAGCCGGAGGAGGGAAAACGGCCGGATGGGCGGCGGCACGGCTCGGTCAGGGCGACGACGGCGCGAGGCGGACGACGAGGGGCGGTCGGCGAGCTGCGAGCGATGGTCGGGCGAAGGAAGAAGCAAAAGCAGGAGTCGGGGGCAGAAGAGACGAAGAAGAAGAGGAAGGGAAGAGGAAAAAAAGAAAAAGAAAAGAAAAGAAAGGAAGAGAGAGAAGGAGGAGACGTGAGCGGGAAATAGGGGAGGGGACGTCTGCGTGCATGGGCAGACGTGCGCAGACGCGGCAGAGGGAGGAGAGAGAGAGAAAGTCAAAGCAATGATCGCGATCCAACGGTCACAATTCAAATCCGAAAACGATCTAACTGTCCACAAAAATCCCAATTATAATTTAGAAAAAGGGCCAAAAGAAAATAATCCAAAACACACTACGAGGAAGGTCTACTAGTCCAAATCCGCACCCGATCAAAAATCCACTTCTCACATGTCCCGGGTAATATCGAGGCTAGCCACAATAATATCGATACCCTCTAATTAAATTCGTCCTGGAACTTCAAGAAATTCGACACCAAAGTTTGGCTCTAAATAACGGCCAAATTTGATCGAGCGTGATTCTAGCGAAATCTCAATTTTAAAAACAATAACCGAGGGTGATCAGTTCCCGGGCGAGATTTTACTATAAGCACACTGACAAATTACACATTTTATAAATTCCAAAAATGGGCCGAAATTCGGAATGTCACAAAAATAGTCCACGAGAAATTCAATTTTTTTTTTGTAATTTATAACTTATAAGATGTTTGATAAGTGTAGAGTGATTTTACACTATGCACAATGGAAATGAATCCACGATAAACCCACACGGCAAATGATATTACTATTTTAGCGTGATATTCCTTCAGTGTATTATGTTTTATGATTACACAACTCTAAATGGCATACAATCGAATATGCAAGAATAGGAGGGAGAGTTTTAGCAAACGGAAATTCTCAACAAATCATTCAAATACAAAGTCCATGCGAGGCGAGGCATGAGCAACTGCGCCAGTGCTTTCAGAAAGCTAACATCGTCCTGATGAACTCTTCATAATCGAGTCGGCCATCGCCGTCCAAATCCGCCTCTCTCATCATCTCTTCCAATTCTTCCTCTGTTAACTTTTCTCCGAGGTTGATCATCACCCGCCGCAACTGTAATCACCCACCAAGTAAGAGGAGTTTTTAAGTCTAAAGGCATGAGTAAGTAAAGCTAGAAGGACTGGAATATCTCATATTTCAAGTAAACTGATATCGAGAGAGAGATCGTCACGAGGGATAAAGTCATCAATATTCTTACCAACTCAGTTAACATTCAATACATCCATGTCTTAAACGTTTTTAAGGCCCTTGATCCTAAGTTCCTCACATATCACCAGAATTGCATCGATGAAAAAAAATCCTCAGGAAGCTTCTACTCAGGTCAGTGGAAGTTCTTCGAAGGCTCATGAAGTTCGAGAGAAGGGAGACATATATTCGAGTGTTTCAAGTATCACCAAAAGCCATTACCAGGGACTTTGATCCTTTCTCTCTCTTCTTCATGTTAATTTTGATGTTTAAGTAAAAGGTTTGCAACCTTTAAACAGAAAGCCAAGACTAAGTAAAACGTGTTGAAAAATCCTACAAGAGAAAGAGACGTCAAGCAGAATAAAACTAACCCTAGAAAGGTCATTCCAGATCAGTTGAGAGATTAGAGAAGAGAAGGAAAGCACTGAGAGAAAAGAAATGGCTACTTCTTTGGGTTATTACGGAGAGAATTCTGCGAGTGGTCATATAGAATTATATGCTGTTAAATGATGCTGTATCACAACTACATCTGCAGGTATTACAATGGATAGGAACATTTGATTAGTTGGTAATTTATGTCAGCCTTTATGTGGTTAGTGAGATATTTCATGGGTCTGAAATATTACTTATCTCATATGGGCTTCCTCGTAAAAAACGGAGATTTTACAATTGTTTTATGAATTCCATTCATAAGAGTTCATTCGAGATTTCTCTGTCACCTTCTTTTCTTTTTTTATGCGGTTTGGTTAGGAGGAATTGCTCCAAGATACAAAGAAGCTACAAATAATGAAGTATAAGCTGAACATTGAATGTGGGGTTAGGAAATAAGTCAAACCTCATTAGGAGATATGTAACCATCTTGATCCTTGTCAATGACCTTGAAAGCTTCCTTTAACTCCTCTTCTATTTCAGTTTCCTAAACATATATATAACAAATGCATTTACACTCATCCAATCAAGTACTTGCAAATATGTGATTTAATTGACACTAGCTATTTTAGTTGATACCTTGATTTTTCTGGCCATAAGATTCAAGAACTCCCCGAATTCTATAGTCCCATTGCCATCGATATCGACCTCATTGATCATGCTTTGAAGTTCTTCCTCTGTGGGATTTTGGTCCAAGGATTTGATTGCAGTTGCCAATTCCGCAATTGTGATGCAACCTATGCATCAAGCAAACCAATAATCAATCATTTGGGAAGGGAAACGCGCCTTAGGTGTCAAAATATTATAATCAGAATATCTTAATCCCACATAACTTCTATCTTCTCATATATACTTTAATATAAGCTCCAGTTTCAGCTTCCATTCCTGTTTCATGCCACGAACCCTAGTGTTGGGTAACAAAATTTTTACGTAGCCTGTATTTTCTATTTATAAGATCTCTTTTCTAACATTCTATACAATTTTCTAAAATTAAAACAAATGGCTTTGATCTCTGATCTCCAGTGAGAACAATCTCATTCTTTTTGTTTCGTGGTAGTTTGACTTGTGGTGTAATGTTTAATAATCAACAATCGGTTGATTCTACTGGTAGTCTTGTCTGAACAACGAGTCGAAACCCGTTCCTTGATTGATATGAGACTATTTATTATATACCTATGAGCCAGGTGATGAAGGTAAACCCTATACAATCAATAGATGCTACCTGAAGTTCAAAGATCATATGCTTGGAAGAATTCAATGAGGAAGCATAAAATATATCCCAATAAAATCTGTCTTCTTCTCTAAAAATTGAATCTAGCATAGTTTTCACACAGTTGCATGGTGAGATCACCAAAGGCACAAGCAGCTGTTGTCTTCTCATGGAATAAACAAACGATCATTATGTTAGTATAACGTTTCACAGCCATGAAAAAGGGAAAAATCGTTCTTCCAACGCACTGGTCGTTCTTTAACAGTTTAAACTATTCGGACAACACAGCAATATACAGAATTTTCATGTCACAAAAATAACACCGAGAACTGTATCTTACATCCCAGGAAGAAGTAGATTAGGCATTAGCAATGAATCACAAAAAGCTAGCAAACAGAGTAAGGGAGTCTATGAAAAGATTATTCACCACAAAAGGTAAATTAAGATAATGACACAAGTTTAAAAACGAAAAAACCAAGGGTTACCATCTCCATCCCTGTCCAGCAAACAAAACGCTTCTTGGAACTCATCAATCTGCTGTTTAGTTAACACATCCCCTCTTCTTGGCTTCATGATCGATCAATAGAGAGAGAGAGAGAGAGAGAGAGAGAGAGAGAGAGAGAAGCTTGGACGATAGAACCTCAGTTGGATCTTTCACAAGTTCTTATTCTGAAGTCTCCAAGGTGGTCATCGAATGGGCTGTCTCTTTCATTAAGACTGGGATATTTGGAGCAAAGAACACTGTTTTTTTTTTGTCGAAAAGCAAAGAACACGTTTGAAATGGTCAAACACGCATGTACTAGAATCTGCCTCAACGGACTCTCTGGAAGTGCTGTCTCAAGCTTTTTCTCCACGCAATAGTAGAGAAGAATTTCGAAGCACGAAGGATTTTTCTGTGCTCTTTTTCTTCCCCCCGAACGTTACTTCAACGACACCGTGGAAAGCGTGACTAAAAGCAGGTTTGATAATTCATCGGACGACACGAATTTTCTCGAGTTGGATGACGTGAGTAATTCATTAGACCAAAGCATCTAAATTCATTGCAGACATGGTTCGTATTTGCCAACAATTTTCATGAGGTTGATGCAAATCGTTTCCGATGTAAGCAATAGCGGAAACTGTAAGATGTCTATGTTGAAAGCTTACTATAATGATGACGATGATGCATGGACTTTTGCTTTAGGTTAAAGCATAAGGTTGACTTTTCAGTCTACATGTGTCAGAAGTCTACATGTTCATAAATGAAGAACTTAGGAGGAGGATGCCATCTTTGACTTTGTCGTTGCCCATGAATATTCAGATATGGCCTTAGGCTTGAAAGATGGTCGTGAAGCTGGAAAAGTCATGGTAAAAAAGAAATGAGTGGAGCATGACCATGAAATTCTGGTGGCTGACCTATTTCTGGTGTATTACATGTGAGAAAAATGAACAAAATGAATGAGACTGCCAAGGAATTTGGTGTGTAGTCTATATGCTTTTCTAATGATTTTATTGCGGTCTTTTAGTTGGGAAAATTATTTAAAAAATCCTAAACCTATTACAATAGTGTCAATTTAGTTATAAACATTTTTGTTAGTCAATTAAGTCCTAAACTTTTTGTATTTGTGCCAATTTAGCTCATATGGGCAATTATAGCCAGAAATCGCTAATATGGACGTCGACCATTCTATATGGTGTAATTGGCGCTAACATGGACTTTTTTAAAATAATATTTCTTAGCCAACATGGACATTTTACTTAGCCAATTGAGTCTTAAACTTTTTGTATTTATGTCAATTTAGCTCTTTTAGCCAAGCTGACATGGACGCCGACCGTTTTATATGGTGTAATTGGCGCTAACACGGATATTTTTAAACAATATTTCAATTTAATTTCTTTTCTTTTTCTTTTTTCTTTTCTTCTTTCTCTTTCTTTTTTTTCTTTCTTTCTTCCTCTAGCCGGTCGCCGAACATCGACGAATAGCCAGAGGTGAGCACTGGCGAGGTCGACCTCGCCAGATCTGGCGAGTTCGAGCCTCCCCTGGCCCTGGCAAGGCTCGCCAGATTTGGCGAGTTCGAGCCTCCCCCGGCCCTGGCAAGGCTCATCATTGGGCGAGGTCAACTTTGCCATCGAATGTAGTAGGTAAACAAACAATTCTGACAAAGTTCAGTGCTTAAATCGAAACAGAACCGAGCAGTTATATGTTTTTGTTATGTGCTTGAGAGCATCGAGCTTGATGATTTCTTACCGTTTGAAGATCGAAATTCGACAAGCACAGCCATGGTGATGAGCCTCGCCTAGCGAGGTCGACCTCGCCGGCCCCCACCTCTAGCCAGTTGTCAAGGTTTGGCAACCGGCTAGAAAAAGAAGGGAACAAAAAAAAAGAAATAGAAAGAAAAGAAAAAATAAATATATAATTCGAAAAATTATTAAAATATTATTTTAAAATGTCAACGTTAGAGCCGGCCTTCGACGTAGGACAGTCGGCATCCATATCAGCGATTTCCTGCCAAAATTGGCCAAATGAATTGAATTAGTATAAATACAATAAGGTTTATAACTGAAGTGGTAAAAAAAAATATTCACCCTTCTTGCTTAAATTAAAGCATAAGGTTGACTATCCAGTCTTTAGTTTCATAAATGAAGAATTTAGGAGGAGGATGGGAACCAACAAGGCATAAAATCAAAATTATTGCTGTGCAAACATCTTTGACTTTGTCGTTTCCCGTGAATATTCAGATATGCTCCTCTCATTTCTTTTTGAAAAATGGTCGTGAAGCTGGAAAATTCTGGTGAATGACCTATTTCTGGTGTATTATATGTGAGAAAAAGGCCAAAATGTCTCTTTTTTTTTATCTGTCATTTTTTAATGACATGAATGAGACTGCCAAGGAATTTGTGGTGTGTACTCTAAATGCTTTTCTAATGATTTTATTGCAGTCTTTTAGCTTTATCCAGACAATCTGGTAATTTCATTTCATCACTTGGATGGCCATTAGAGATGGTGAGAACGACCGCGCACGACTTTTGCGCTTGGTTTTTTGCTAGCTATACATGAGGTTGCAGATTTATGTGCTTGAAAACTGAGGCATGACCATGGTATATCTGATTTAATCATTTTTATCTGATAATTGGAAAAATTATCCACGTCCGCGCCGACCGTGCCATGTCGGACAGCTAGCGTCCACGTCAGTGATTTTCGGCTAAACTTGGCTAGAATGACTACGTTGGCAAATCAACAAAAGGTTTAGAAATAAATTTATACAATTGAATGGTTTATTGGCACAATTGAAAAATTCAAGACTAAATTGACACAAGTACAATAAGTTTATGACTTTTTTTGGTAATTTCTTTGTAACTCCTAGGATGGGATAGTATCAAAATAAGCAAATAAATCGTGGCAAATATACTAAAATTCAAGACAAGCTTTTTCTCGAATGATCTCGTCTCGCATCATATTGGCAATTTTGTTTATTCTAGGGTAACCAAAAGATAGATCAAATCATATTGGCAATTTTGTTTATTCTAGGGTAACCAAAAGATAGATCAAGGTCCCTGGGCAACCGGTTTTCTTTCTGAGGCCAGCACCTGCCCAATTAGGCCCGCTCAAACTCAATTATCCTGCATGAAGTAAATTCGGTATAATCTCAATCTCGAAAGAACCCGGATAAGGATTTTCACACTAATACTTTCCTTCTAAGGTACTCTCGCTCTTTCTCTCCCCCCACATAATTTTTAGGAATGGATCTGACATTCGACACTCATATCACTGGATGCACCAGTTGTTTTTACAACACAATCCAACGTAGGAATGTAAATTGTCTCGTTCCGTTGTATTCCGTTCTTCCGTTCCATTTCCATCCCGCTTCACGAACGTGCCTGTCACAGCCCAAACCGGTCCAATTGTCGATCAACAGCACCACGTGTGCATAGGCCAAAGCCTAAAGCCCATATAAGTTCATGGGTCTAAGGCCCAAAGCCCATTTCCTTTCGGAAACCCAATTGACATTCATCATTGAAAATCTTAAATTGAAAAAGGTAGCCACAAAAAATCACAAACTATGCCTACTAAGACACATTTATCTTGAACTTCTTTTTTGTTACATAAAAAGAAAAAACCTCAAACCAGCCCACGGTAACACATTTAGCTTAAACTTTTTCTCACTTATGTGATACATTTACCCTCCGTCTGCTAATTCTGGGTGTTGTTTTAGGTCCTTTTCATATCTTCATCTACGAGGTTCGAATCAACGGGGTAATTTTTTTGTCTATTAATTTATTATTAATAATTTCTTGTTATTCAGTGATGATATTTTTGCACTAGTGATTATCTATATTTCAATATTTAGTTTGTTTTTTCATATTTCGTATTCAAAAAGTTCCACTTAATGGAAATTGTGAGAGTTTCTCTTTCACATTAGTGCTTCTTTGGCCTTTTAAAATCCTCTAATCTAATCCTAAATTGAGCCAAGAAAATAGAAAACCATTGGAAGTCAAGAAAAAATTGTAAAAGGTGGAACCAATCTTCCGGTTTCCTCCATGAAAAAGTGTGGCCAACATTTGACCATTCCTACCTTCACAAAAGCCCCACCGTTAGGCTAGCAGAACTCTATTTAAAAAAGTTTTGCCAACGTAATAGTTTTTGGGCACTGTAAAAATAAGAGTATATTGTTAGCTACAAATTTTTGAAAGAGTGGACCTTACAATAATTTATAATTAATTTTTATTTTTTTTCTGTGATTCCGTACAAATTGTTATTTTTACAGTAAATTGAAGATTATCACCCAATCATCTCATTAAAAAATTAGAGGTTGGCCCCGTTTTCTCATCCGAAGACCTTTGTTTTCTTGGTCGATATCCAAAGACCTTTGAAAGTACAACAATCGTGCACATATATTATAGGCATTAAAAGTCCGGAAATTGCATCGCAAGTTTCCAACAATTCGTCTATCAAAAAGAAAAAAGAAATTGGATCACGCGAATAAGGGACGTATGCATCGTGGGTTTTGATGTTACGATTCAACACGTCAACACCTTAAGTCTTGTTTTACAAAAAAGGTTAATATCACGAAAAACTCTAAATTAGTACACTTGTGATAAATTTACCCTAAATTATTTTTTTGACCACAAAAAACCTCAAATTGGTACACCTGTGACAATTTTATCCCAAACTAATTTTTTTTACCATAAAAAATCTTATACTGGTACACTTGTGACAATTTTACCCCGAACTAATTTTTTGACCACCAAAAACCCCAAACTAGTACACCTGTGACAAATTTACCCTCCGTTAGTTTCCGTTAAATTTTACCGTCAAATTACTAAGTTTGATGACACGTGGTAATTGACGAGTGTATTAGTTTGGGGTTTTACCCCTCTCTTTGTCGCAAGTTTGTGACTTTTCGTGATATTAATCCAATTTAACGAACACTAACAGATGGTAAATTTGTCACAAATGTACCAGTTTGGGATTTTTAGTAGTCAAAAACTTAGTTTTGGGTAAAATTATTACAAGTGTACCAGTTTGTATTTTTTGTGGTCAAAAAAATAATTCGGGATAAAATTATCACAAGTGTACTAGTGTAGGGTTTTTGATAGTCAAAAAAATAATTCGAGGTAAATTTGTCACATATGTACCAATTTGAGATTTTTGGTAGTCAAAAAATTAGTTCATAATAAAA